AAGAAGAAAAAAAAATCAAAGAAATGAAGCTGAGCCAAAAGACAAGGATGAAAGTAACAGCGGCCAAAAGAAAAATGAAAATAACGGCAAAATAAAGAAAAGTGAAAGAGAAAAATTCACACCTTCTGCAGAATTTGCCAAAAATCCATTTGATGGAGCCTTCATTCTTACAAAGTATGAATTGATAGAATTAAAATAACTCTCAAGACATACAACCCCTTGTTGTGTTCCAACACAAAACCAACATAAACTTTTCCACCATAAAGTCAGCTTTAGTCTTTTCGGCTACGAATCACACCCCCAATACCCTGCAACATCTTTCTAAAGAAACTCCGTGCACGCTATAACTTTTAATTTTCAACATAAAATTCGCCTCCTCTCACGTCCAAATCGGAGAAATCAAACCCTAACTTTAGCACACAAAACCCAAAGCAAACGTCCCCTTCACAGTTATGCTATCTTGTAGAGCTCGTTAACGAGCTCTGACGCGCAGAATACGGCAGTCAGCTGAAGCATTTAAAGCATTTCCTTCAGAAAGCAGCTCTCGAGAAAGCAAGATTTCGAAGAGAAATAAAAATGATTCAAATCAACGAAACGGTGGCGAACTGCACGAAAGTATCACTTCACCGGAAACCAAACAGTTCCGTTTCCGATCCACTTCCGACTGAGAACCCAAATTAACAGCTACACCGGCGAAAACGAAACGAAGTTGAAAGGAACTAGTCTCAACGGTAAGCTCATCCGCAGCTCGAGAATCCAAATTGGATTGTTCGGAACTGAGTGAACCAGGGAAAAGAAGAAAGCGAAGGAAAGGAATGGAAAAAAATGGAATTTATGGGATCAAGGAGAAGGAAACAGAGTTGTTCGCCGGGAAATCAGAGGAGGAAGAAAAACAGAGCAAAAATAAAAGAGGCTTTCTTTTTAATTTTTATTATAGTATCTTTAATGTGAACAAGCGGACATATTATAGACTGAGAGGTGAAAAAAAAAACCTGATAATAATAACAGAAGGTACTGTATTAACGGCACGAGTCCTTGATTGCATGGTTTTAATATGGTTGTAAAATTGATTTTTTTTTAATAATTAAAATTAAAAATTAAAAATATTAATTTATTAAGTATAAAATTTTAAAAAAAAAGGTCAAAATTTTAAATTAATTAATTTATATAATTACTTAATTATATTATATAATTTTTAAACTTTTAAAAGTTAAAATTAAAAATTACAATTATACTAAATGGAGTTTTAATTAATTGATTTATAATTTTATTAAGAATATTAATAAACATTTTTATTATTTTTTAAAAAATTATGATATAGTTTAAATTGTAAAAAATAATTGTTGAAAGAATGATAGTTCTCTTTTATTTAATTATTTTTATTTTATAATTTAATATAATTTAAACTAAATTACTATTATTATTACAGTATTTTCAATTTTAAAAAGGTAAATTTTGAATTGTGTAGCAAGTTTAATTCTAGGGGTGTGGTTATTTGCATTATAAAAAATATTAAGATTACTTATTTTTAAATTTTTTTTAAAAATAATATCTAAAAATATTAATTTATTGATTAATTTTAATTTATTAATTAATAAATATTAATTATTTTATTAATTATTAATTAATTTGGTTAATTAAATTAAATAAAATTAATTTTTTTAAAACTAATATTCTATAAATTTTAACAACCTTAATATTATAAATGATGGTGATGACCCACCCCGTAATACTTTTAATTACTATTATGTATATATTTTGTACTCTCACTTGTTATTTATTTTTTTAAGCAGATATAATTTAAGGTAAGGAATGAAAAATTATTATATAATAATATTATAATTCTAATTTTAATTATTATAAAAATATTAAACACACATATCAAATCAACCATTAAATCCGGTGCTACTCGTACTTGTTATCTTGTTTTTTGGAATTGAAGAAAACAAAAATATTACAAATCAAAGGAGGCATACAAATTTCACCCAAAAAAGTATAAAAATGCATTAATGATATTTTTATTTTTATTTAAGAAAACTGGTATTTTTAATTTTAATTATTTGAAAATTAAAGCTTTTAAGGGTGTCTAAAGTGGTTAAAGCATGAATTTTTTTGTTTATTATGATTGTGATTTTAAGTTTTAAATTTTAATTTTTAAAAATACAGAAATGTTGAAATAAAATTAAGAATTTTTATAAATTAATTAATTAGATTTAAAAAATTTTATATTTAATATGTTATCAATTTTAATTTTTAAGTTTAATTTTTAATTATTAAATTTAATTATTTAAACGATAAAAACTAAAACAAAAAATTAAAAATCAAAGCCATACTAAACATAGTTTTAAATTAGACATTTCATATTGGGATTATGAAGTAGGATATGTTGCCTACTTTCAAATAAAAAAGGGGAAGGAAGGAAAAGGAAGGAAAAGGTACGGGCAAATGAGAAATTATCAAAGAGGAGTGATATGTGTACTCAGCAGACTAGTAAATGTTAATTGAATGTCATCTGTAATTTTTTTTTTATTTTTTTTTACAAATAAAGTCAATAACTTAGTGTTACTCCTTACTAAATTAAAGTGTGTAATGTTAGGCCTATACAACATAATATTATATAAATAAATAAATATAATATCATAAACAAATTTATAAACAAAAAGATTAAAAGAAATGCTAAGTATACCCTTCGTAATATTTTCTTTTGAATACCTTTCATGTAATTAAGACTCATGTAATATAAATTTAACATAATTTGTCATAATTTTAAATTTTAAAAATATTAATTTTAATATTAATTATTAATCACTAATTATATTAAATTTATACTTCATGTGTCCAGTGAAAAGAGTATTTAGAAAAGAATACTGGAAAGTGCCTTCCACTCCTCAAAAATCAGTTAAATGTGTTACGTTACATGATATTAATTAAACAAACATGGTAGATGTAACTTATTCTCTATTAAAAAGAAAGGATTGTATTATTATCTATTGATTTAAATAGAAAGA